ATTTCTAGATCTCAACATAATAAAAAAAATCTAGAATGGACTGTTCCAGAGATGGAACGCCCCGTTCCAAATTATAATAGCTAGAATAGGTTGTTCTAAAGCAAAAATGCCCCGTTCTAGTCATCATCAAATGGGAACGCCCCATTTCAAAAGCAAAACAGGCCATTCCAATTTAATATTAAGTTAGAACACCCCGTTCCAGGGTACAAAACAGGCTATTACACGTCAAAATGGTCGTTCAGCATGATTTTTAGCTAAATAAGAGCCATTTCCCCCTCATAATCCTTATCCATTTCCCAAAACTTCCATTCTTTCCCTATAGCATTTTAGGCATCCTTTACTCGCATTTACTCACCATGCATAGAGGTAGCTCATCCCATGGTCGAGGCAAGAGGCTTCGGATACCATCGCCATTACGACCACCACCATAGATCATACAGCCAACACCACTAGTACAGTGCTCGACGGCAGCTATGAGTGATGAGATGCGCAGATAGAGGTGACATCTTTGCGGTTTTGAGTTTGGGTTCGCACACCACCTCCTCAAGTAGGTGGGACTCTTAGGGAGAGTCTAGGAGCTACTCTCAACCATTGAATGGGAGATCATATTAGAGTCGTTGGGTTGAGCCTACAGGGAGAAGACAATTGACTTTTTGGCATCTTCCAAATAGTACACAGTTACAACACCCGAACGGCCAAACGTGCAGGATGGTTCTATTTTGGATAGGCAGGGCCCTCCGCACCATCATGTTGATAGAGTTCAACTGGATAATTGAAATTTGTGATTTAAGATGCTAAATTATATTGTGTTTTATGTTGAAATATTGGGGTTAGGGTCAGATGTATGATTAAGGGTTTGGTGTGATGTGTTTGATTATGAAATTATTGGTGTATACTATTAATTTGGAGTAATAATATTGAGTATTAGGTAATTTTATGTTGTGCTACAAAATAGAGAAAGAAAGGGTGAGAACTACGTGAAAATCAATCGAGTTCAAAGCAGTTTTGCAACTATAGACTGATAAGCACAGTCATGCTTAAGATAAACACGGTCATGCAAGCCTATGCAAAAGGAACCATAGTCATGCTTTGGGGAAGCATGCTCGTGCTTGTGATTGTATAAGAGTAACAACCAATGAAGAGACGAGAAATCATGAAATGACGTTGAGTTGAGCTATGTAAGGTATAATGCTTAATAATGAAGGGAAATAATAGAAGGAAAAAAGTGTGTATGATAACCATAATTGAGAAAAATGTAAGAACAAATAGGGTGCAACCATAATTGAGTAATTAAAGAGAAGGTGTAAGAATGATTACTTAGTGAGTAATAAGAGTAAAGAGATGTAAATGAGAACAATGATATGGATGTTTATGCGTGACATGAGAACTTTATGTATGACATGAGATGTTTGTGTGAAATGTACGTGATGAGGTGTGATAAGAAAACATTACAAGATGTATGAGATAAGAAGTGTTGTTGTTTGACTCTAAAACCTTACATGCAATGTTTGAAGTGTTTGATGTGTTATGAGATAATGATGATGTGATGATCATCATTTCATGAAGTCTAGGCAACTGCTTGGTAGTGGTGAAATCCAGGCAAGGGTTGGTCTTGTGGAAAAATCTAGAGAGGTCTAGTAAATTGATGATGTTGGCACTAAACATATGCATTAATTATTTGATGTTGTGGTGTGAGAGTCAGTATATTCACGCATATTTTCATTTGGAGGTCGTAGTGAATCTATGTGGAGGATATTTATGGTCTTTTACCTTGGTCTTAGGGTGTTTTGGTAGGTATTCTCTAACGAGTATCAGAAGTGACCATGCCCCACTATAATGCCCCGACTTGATCTAGATAGATTTTCTCCTAATTGAGAGTGGGTTGAGTGGGTCAACCAAATAGTGGTGATTCGGTCCATGTGCTCTTAGGTTACCTTGTATTTGAAGAGTCATTGGCAATATTAAGGTTCATACCACACGTATATAGAATAAAGAGCATGAGTCTGCTACATGAGTCCTTGAAGAGGTGGATGTGTATGATTTTGAGATTGATATGTTGGATGAACTCTTATGAAGTTTGAGTTTTGAATACCTGAATTGACATGAGTTTTAGTTGTGTGGTGTGTTAGAGTATTATCCATATTTTTATATGCGTGCTTATATATATGTAAGATATATTCTCACTCCTTTTGTGCTTGTTATTGTTATTTTCCTTGTTTAGGTTGAACACCATATGCAGGGACTAATCAAGTACATGAGTTTGAGCCAGTGGAAAATTAAGTTTTGGTTTATGTTTGACTGGATTGCTTTGATTAATTAGTTAAACATCTAGGCTAATAGATTTGTTTACATTTTCTGTGTTTTATCTTAAAATGTTACTTATAGTTTTGGCTTCCCTTTGACAAAATTATACGAGTAGTTTAATGCCTAAACGTATTTTATTTGCAACTTACTCTTGTTCTACTCCTATTTAATGCAATTGGAATTTTGTATAAAAAGGTAAGCTAGGGACTATACCCTCCAAGTTATCCCTTCCCTCCACCCCTAATAATATCAGCGAATTACGTGTGACACAAGATTACCATTTTAACATAATTTTATAATATTTGTAAAATAATTTATAATATGTTCATTTTTTAAAAGAAATTCTTTTTCAAATTATTAAAATATATTAATTATATCTATTATTCTTTCATGGATTTTATACATTATTTCATTTTCTAAATTTCGAAAATTATATAGAGATTAACTAAAAAGTCAATGAAACAATTAGCATTAAATAATAAATTTAAATATTTTTATAACATGTCTTGAATAAATGATACGATTTTTTGACACAATAAAATATTATAAAATTATTATATTTAATATACTTTTTAAATTTTTATACAATATATTTGAGTAATATTTATTTGTTTTATAAAATGTTAGTTAATAATATTTTTAAAATTTAAATATAAAAATTATTATAAATATATAAGATAATATAGTGAATACAAATTTTATGCACATTATTGTATTTATTATAAATATACAAAAGATAATATACTGATTACAAATTATTATATTAATTTATTATATATATTTTGAGTGAAAGATCAGCATTGGAAAATCATGGTAAAATATGATAGTATTTTATATCATATATATTATATTTAAATTTAAATATAAAGTGTAAATTAAATATTAGCATAAGTTATCTAGATAAAACTTTAATTCAGTAAACCACAATATCAAAATTCAAAAAATATCTAAAGAGGTGTGGCTAGTTTTATCCCTGCCTTTATAAATTTTGGTATGTAGATTAAAGTCTAATGAGAATAATTTTATCTTTTTTTTTTTTCTCTTTCTATGCATAAAAACTAGTATTTTCGTATGTGAAATATACATAGTAGATATTTATTTTATGCAACTAAAAGTTATAATAAATAAATAATTTTAATATATATTATATTATATTATTTTAAAAAATATTTTTATCAAAATAAATTATATTTAAGATTTATGATAAATAATTTATATCACAGTAAAAATTCATTTTTAACTATTTATAATTTTATTTTAAGAAAATATTGAAATTTAATTTAGAAATAGCTCTGAAAAATTGAAAGAGACAAAAAAAATTGAAGGAAAAATCCATAAAAGTGTTCTAGTTGAAGAAAAAATGGTTAAAAACACTCTCATTATAGAATGTATTGGTTTAGACTACGATGATCATACATTGTATGGAAGCAGGGCAAGGATAGACTAGGAGATAGCTGCTAGAAGCTACAGGAGGTGCTTGGAGATGGAATTTTTTTTGTAGGCTACCTTATAGTAGCATATTTTTTTGTATATAACTGGTTGTTGTTGGTTGCTTGATTAGCAACTTATGTTGTAAATATTTTATTATACTATTTTAATATATATATTCCAGTAGTGTGTAGTGTTGTTTCGTAGTGTGATGATCATGGCGGGTCGTTACAAAATGTACATGATAGATATTTATTTAATAAAAGTAATAATAAATAAATAATTTTAATATATATTATTATATTATAATTTATAAAAAAAAATATTTTTTATCAAATAAATTATATTTAAGATTTATGATAATAATTTATATCACAGTGTGAATTTATTTTTAACTATTTATAATTTTTTTAAGAAAATATTGAAATTTAATTTAGAAATAGCACAATGAAAATTTGAAAAGAGACTAAAAAAATGGAAAGAAAAATCCATAAAAGTGTTTTGTTGAAGAAAAAATGGTTAAAAAACTCTAATTATAGAATTGTTTCCATAAACCCTCTCTTCAAAAGGAATTAGTGTAATTTATAGAGAGAGTATTTTCTTTCGTTTTCTTAGAGTTGCTCCCTCTTTGTAAATATTCAACTTCTTAATATGGTATTAAGCTCTTTTTTTTTCGAGGAATGGCTTAAGTTTGGCTCTCACACTAAACCGACTACTTTCTACTCTAGCTCCTATATATCGTATATGATGATATAAGAGTTATTTTAGAGCATGATATTTATACATTGACAAAAATAAATCAACAATAAAATTTGGGGTTAGAATCAATTGGCATCATAGAAAAATGTCTCCTACTAAAGTGAGGTGCACAAGATATTCTATATCACTAAGATCGAGAAAGTTTATAAAATATTCTCATTTTCTGTACCCATAGAAAAAATACAAGATATAATTGTTGCACCATGTATGTGTGTCTACGTTGGATTACTTAATATTTAAAGAAAATCAAGAATCTAATAATCAAATCATACGTGTAAGAAAATAGTTGAATAATTATTTACTTATTGTTAATAGATTAGAATGGATTTTACGGCTAATTATAAGTATTGTTGTTATCTTGATTTAATTAACATGAATATGTTGTTCATTCAAATATTTGATGCCCCGACCAAAATGACTGAAATTAAGGAAATTAACGTAGTGCAGCAAGAAACAATACGAGGAAATTTGAAGTTATCTAGCAACGATATATATGTGATTACGTGTACCTTCATACGAGTATGGAAGAAGTGGTTTAGCTGTTGGAATGGCGCGCGGAATCATTTCATCCAACTCTTGGTGGTTCTGAATCAACTCATCCAATGCATAGTGTTGGAATCTCAATTTCTCCAATGCACTGCAAACAAATTCCTTGTAGCCTCTCTCAATTGCCAAGTACAGAACTGATTTTCCATCATTATTGTTTGTGTACAACGCAACTCGCTCAACCAATTCCTTGAAGCCAACCTCAATCGATGTTTCTTCAGAATGCAGCATACTCATCACATCTTTGCGATCTTTCAATAGGGCCTCGTGAAAGAACGTGTTTCCTTGCTTGTTCCTCGCTAGGATTACTTCAACGGCCTTTTTGGGATTTTCAGAATAGAGAAATGGTAAATTCGAGAGACATGCAACGAACAAGTTACTTAGAGTAGAGACGTGCCCATATCTTGCAGCAACATGTAGTGGTGTATCACCGTTCTTATTTTCAGCATGCAAAAGGTGTGAGAGAAATGGATTTTTAGTTATTTTCTTCACCCAGTCGTCATTTCCCCACTGAGCTGCAACATGCAACACAGTGTTTCCCATAGGGCTCTTCTGTAATACACACTCATCCGGTATTGGTTTATGATCTTTTATTAAATCGCTTGTTTTCTTTGACAAACACAGATCACGTGCTTGAATATCATCGGTGGGTTCCGAGTTTTGTGTTTCACTTTCATCAATCACGTTTCTTGAAGTTGAATGCTCCTCTGCTCCAGGGTAATTCATTTCAATATCATAAATATTCGTCGACATTTAAGCTGGCCTTTCTCTTCTACTTCCAGGTACGTATACTTCCTTTTTCTGTGTCCAAAAATACAAAACTAGGTAAATCCATCAATTTTACTGCATTTATTTGAAGGCAGACTCTGTTGTGCTTCTGTATTTTTTATGTTCAAATTACACATGTTCAAACACACTACATGAGACAGGTAAGTGACTGATTATGTTTTCAAATTTTGTACGTTAATTTAATTATCTTTCTAATGTAAAGAGACACAAGATTTTCACCCAACCTTATCATATATAAATTTAGCATGATATAAAACATTTCCTTCTGCAAGAGGCCAACTGACACTGAAGATTTAGTACACAATGAACTCAAGAAAAGACAAACTAGTGACATATATACGATTTTAGTTGGATTTATTTTGGAATGACTTGAACATTGGTGTTCTTTATGAGTCTAGCACTAGAGGATTCTTGTTCAATATATTTTCTATGGTTGCTTTTGTTTTCCTAATGTACTTCCATTTATATTTTCTGTCATTTTTTTTATATACTGCTATTTGACAGCGATCCTTGTCTTGTTGCTTGAAGCTTGAAATTATTAATTTCTGCACAAATTGTCTGATATTTTAACATTTTATTTAACCAATCAATTATTATTTATTCACATATTGTATTACACAGCAGATGATTTCCATTCAAGTTTTTTTTTTTTCCTTATTCACCATACCTGAATATATTTGAAGTTGTATAGACAAATGCTAAGAACACACTTTAAGGCACTTTTTTGAGCACATATATTTTTTATAATTGATCAAAATTTATTAAAAATTACAAATTTTATTGAGTCTCACATTTTATTAAATATCTCTCAAAATTTATAATTTTTAAAAAATTTTAACTTAAATGTGTTAAAAAGAATATATTTTATTAACATTTTTTCATATAATTTGTTTGTCGGCGTAAGATGTGAATGGGACCTAAATTTTCTTAAAGTTAACAAGTAAATTCTTACCAATTTACCATTCTAGATATAAAGAAAAATGTTAAATCAGCATCAAACATTTTTTTTTAGGGAAATAAGATTATGTCATTTCATTCAAAATAATTGGAGCAATACATGAGGGAATAAATTCAAAGATGTGAGAGCTAGCATAACATCGTGACACCCTAGCTAAACAGTGAGCGACCCGATTGGCTTGCCTCGGAATGAACTTTAGTGATAAGTTCGGATGATTGTGTAGCAATCCTCTACACTTATTAAGAAGAGACCCATATTCTGAGTGATGTGATTGAGTCCCAAATAGAGCATCAAGGACAGATTTACAATCCGACTCAATGGTAACGTGGGTGAGGCTCAAAGTTACTATCTATTGGATGGCTGTAAGTAGAGCTGTAGCTTCAGCCTCATGAACAGGTGGCAGGCCATGAGCCCAACCAGTTTTGGCTGTGAGAAACTGTCCATGATCATTTCGAATGCACATGCTATACCCAAAGTAAGATGAGTCCTGGAAGAGAGCAGCGTCGATATTGCACGTAAACGTCCCTGCATGGGGCTTTTTCCATTGTAGATCGTGTACGGGAGGGGTCCTTTGTGTCGACGATCTTGCTTGTGCCGCTTGCCAATCTCGAAAATATTGCTTTGCTTGTGAGGTGGCTACTCCTGAAGGTGGGGCGCCCTGATCCCAAACCTTAGCATTCCGACGCCTCCAGATACAGCTAAGCGTGACCACGACTTCAACAATATGGCTTTGAGATATGCTGCCAAGTAAGGAAAAGATGACCTCGACAATTCCTTCACCTACATCTATTAAGGATTTAATATGTTGCCATATGCCAGTTGCTTGCCATACGGTTTGTGCTTCTTGACAACCAAAGAAAATGTGCCAGTTATTTTCTTGTGCAGCTTCACAGTGGGGACAAAGGGAGGTACAAGGGACTCCCTTTTGCTGAAGGCGTTGGCGTGAAGGAAGACAGTCTCTAAGAAGTCTCCAAAGAAAGATTTTCATGTTATGTGGAATAGGTAAAGCCCATAACTTTTTCCAATCACCAGGGAGCCTTGAGATAGAGTTGCATAACAGGGACTCCATAATAAGATAATAAGCAGATTTAACAGAGTACGAGCCTTTCCTGTTGAGATTCCACGTGAGTGTATCTGCTTCATCAAGTTGGAGGAGTGGGATATCTTTGATTGCATCAACGTCACGTTGGTTGAAAATCCTGTTGATAAGATCAAACTTCCAAGTGCCATTTTCAAAGTCAATTAGGTCAGCTATCCTGATCTCCTCATACCCTGCTGAAGGCAATGATGTCACATAGGGCTTACCTTGTTGACGCAGCCAGGGATCAATCCATGGGTTGATACGAAGACCATTACCAATACACCACCGCATGCCCCCCATTACCACTACCTGTGAAGCGTGGATGCTACGCCATGTGAAACTCGGGTTGTGGCCAAGATTGGCCCCCAGAAAATCCCCTCGCGGGAAGTATTTAGCTTTGAAAACACGAGTAACTATAGCATCTTGGTTGGTCAAGAATTTCCAACCTTGCTTCCCTAGCATGGCTAAGTTGAAGCCATAGAGGTTGCGAAAGCCCATGCCTCCGTGTTCTTTCCTCATGGATAATTTTTCCCAGCTAAGCCAATGGATGCCTTTCCCAGAGTGTCTGTTTGAACCCCACCAGAAAGAGTTTAACATGCGTTGAATCTCATCGCCTAGTGATGAAGGAATGAGGAAGACACTCATATAATAGGATGGAATGGATTGACCTACTGATTTTAGGAGTGTTTCTCGTCCTGCTTTAGATAAGTGCTTACCAGACCAATGCTGGATTTTTTGCCATATGCGGTCCTTGATGTTGTTAAACAGTGCCTTTTTCTTCCTACCAATCATTGAAGGCAGTCCCAAGTACTTGCCGGTGCCTATGCATTCCGAAACACCTAAGATAGTAGCGATTGATGCTTTAGCAGCAGGTGTTGTGTTACTGCTGTAAAAGATTTCTGACTTTTGCATGTTGATGGCTTGACCAGAAGCTTTCTCGTATTGGTTGAGGATGTTCTTAAGTGTGGTACATTCTCTATTAGTAGCCCTACAAAAGAGAAAACAATCATCTGCAAATAAGAGGTGAGTGAGTTGTGGGGCACCTCTACAAATTTTGATACCATGAATGTCTCCTCTTGCTTCAGCTTGTTGTAGTAATGAAGAGAGACCTTCAGCACATATGATGAATAGATAAGGTGATAGTGGATCGCCTTGGCGAAGTCCCCTTCCTGGAGTAATAGGTCCCACCTCCTCTCCATTCATAAGGACTTGGAATTTGACCGATTCCATGCATAGTTTCAGCCAACTAACCCATTTAGGATGAAAACCAAGCTTCAGTAGCAGGCTGTGTAGGTAGGACTAGTCTACACGATCAAACGCCTTGTTAATATCAATCTTGAGAGCAACTTCCCCTGTTCTGCCATTTTTCTTGCATTTCATGTGGTGAATGAGTTCTATGGCTACCAAAACATTGTCAAGTATTGAGCGGTTCTCCACAAAGGCTGATTGTTCTGGAGAGATGCATTGGTTGAGTAATGGCTTCATGCGGTTAGCTAGAACCTTAAATAGGATTTTGTAGATCACATTGCATAGGGATATGGGGCGAAGATCTTTCATGGAGGTTGGATTTGCTGTTTTAGGAATAAGCACCACATTCGTGTTGTTCAGTTGAGGAGGAAACTCTCCTTGTTCAAGCCAATGAGTGCCGGCAGCAAAGACTTCTGGGCCAAGGAGGTCCCAAAACCGCTTATAAAAACCTGGATTAAGGCCATCTGGTCCTGGTGATTTGTCAGAGTGCATGGAGAAAAGGGCTGTCTTGAATTCACTGATGCAGAAGGGCTGGAGGAGAGAGTCGTTGTCTGCTGCTGTGATTTTGGGGGAGATATGATCAATGACTTGGGCAATATCACTTTGTTGGGCTTCAAATAGGTCATTAAAGTAATTTTGAGCAACCTGACAGAGGTCCTGTTGGGCTATAGCTATCGTGCCATCAGGTTTGGTGAGGCGTTGGATCAAGTTCTTCTTCTTTCTTTCACTAGCCATGGCGTGGAAAAATTTGGTATTTTTGTCTCCATCTTTAAGCCAATACACCTTGGCTCTTTGTTTCCAGAAAGCTTCTTCCTTTGCGAGCAGTGTTGATAAGCGCTCTTGAGCCTTCGAAAATGCTGACACAGAATTGGCATCATGCTGTTCACGTAACTCCAGGAGTTGGCGTCGACAAGCGTCAATAGGAGCACGAAATCTCAAGCGAAGTTGGCGACCCCATTCATCCATGTCTTTGGAACAAAATTTTAGTCTGTCAAGAATGTCTGGGAAGTGCCCGCGGTGCCAACTTGCTTCAACCAGTGGGGTTAGATCAGGTTCATCTAGCCATGCGTTCTCAAACCTAAAAGACCGACGAGTACGTAACGTGATTTGCATGGATAGTTTTAAGAGAATAGGAGAATGATCTGACCTGGCAGCCACTGCGTTTATAAGTCTACTGTGTGGGAATTGATCAAGCCAGCTTTGAGTGGCCATAGCTCTATCCAACCGTTCCTCCACTTGTGTTGGTGAACCACGACTCTTGATCCACGTAAAATTGTAGCCTTCAAGAGGTATATCCACTAGTTCAGAGTCCATCACAGCTTCACGAAACCCCCGAAGTAACCATGTTGGGTGCTCTATCAAACCCCTTTTATCTTGGTTAGATAAGAGGTCATTAAAGTCTCCAATGACACACCATGGGAGTGAATTGTCTTGCGCAAGGTAACGCAATAGGTCCCAAGAATCCTTCCTACGGTTTCTTTCTGGATGACCATAGAAACCTGTGAGTCGCCATGTTGGCTTCTTAGGTTGAGTGACGGACACGTTGATGAAGGGGGGAGAGTAATTAATTAAGTGACAAGAATATGGTTGCTTCCAGAGAAGCGCGAGGCCACCACTGCGTCCGGAGCTATCTACAGCAAAAGAAGAGTCAAAGTTGAGAGCCACACGTATGTCTTCTAGACGTCGTGCATATACTTTCGTTTCACAAAGGAAGATCACGTCCGGGTGGCATGTCCGAACAAGATCTTTAAGGGTAGGAACTGCACACGGGTTGCCTAAGCCCCGGCAGTTCCAACTTATGAAACTCATGAGCCCTGGCAGGCCTGGTTTCCAGGGCCTGCCCATAAAAAATGATCAGCATCTTCGGTGTCCATGATGGATGTAGTAGTGTGTTCATCTGTGGTTGTAGCGTCGTCATGGTAGCGACGTTTTCTATCGAGTATAGTAAGGTCATCGTTAGCCGCAACAGAATTTTGGTTTGCATGGGTTAAATTGATGGGCTCCTTGGCGATATCAGCAGTCGTGTTTTGTTGCACATGGGAATTACTGGTAGCATTGGAGGTGTGGGCCCTGGCAGTCATAATAGCTGGATTCTTAAAAATTTCTGTCATTAAATCATTTCTTTTTTTGTTGTCATGATTATCGGGATAGATATGATTACCGCTTTGGGCGTTGAAAGTAACAGATTGGCCAATCCCATAATATCCGCTATATCCCAGATTTTGTGGAGAATTAAAACCAGAATCCTCATCACGTAACCAACGCGATCTAGGAGTGGCTGTGCGAGGGTCAGCCCGGAGCTCCGGTCCCCAGCCCCGTTGTCCATCGTCTTCAGATGCGTTGAACAGGAATTCACAACTATCCTCCATATGGCCCAATAGACCACATACAAAACAAAAGGGGCCTAATTTCTCATATTTGAATAAGACCACCGTAGCCTCGCCTCCCGGTTTTTTTATACGTTTTGATTTCTTTAAAGGCTTTCTGACATCAATGAGAACTCGTACACGCATATATGACCTCCAAAACGTAGTTGTGTTTCGTGAGTCAAACTCCAAAAATTCACCGATGTGATTAGCTATGTTTTGACCCACAGAGGAGGAGTTGAATCCGGGTGGAAGTTGATGAATTTGCACCCAAAAAGGTACAGTGTAAAGCGGTATTTGATTTGGAACTTCTCCGTCTTTGATGATGCCTAGTATGAGTAGATGACGATCAAACGACCAAGGGCCTCCCTTTAATATGCGTTGCAAGCCCAGTGGGTGGTAAAATTGGAAGAGAAAGAGACCAGAGTCTATTTCACGTATAGAAACACCTTTACGTGGGTGCCAAACTTCTGCCATGCGTTCCTTCATCATCTGAGTATGTATCTGGCGTTCGGTGAGGAACCTTCCTATCAAGCATAAAGTCAGATTTGTCTCAGGTCCAATGATGGTGTACATGTCTTCGGTTATGATGAGGTCTTCGTCATCCTCGATCACCATGGCATTGAGGTTGAGTGGTTCCATAGTTGAAGAGCAACGTAACAACGAGTTCGTGATGCGGACGGCGTGCGTCAACTAACGTCTCATAGAGAGAGAGAGCGTCTCATAGAGAGAGAGAGCGTCATATTATTAAAAACTATTTTTATATATATTATAAATATAATATATGTTGTTATATTGTTAAAAAAAATATAAATATATATATATATATTATAATGATATACAATATATATTATTAATTTAATTTTATTTAAAATTAATATTAAAATTATGTAAAATTATATGTTAAATAAATTTATACGAACATATTAAATAAATTAATATATAATATTTTTATAATTTAATTAGTGTTCATCAATTTGAATGATCTAATAATTTTGAATAATACAACCTAAACCAATTAAATTAATTCGAATTTTACTTGATTGGATTGAAAATGATCCCAACTAAAAAAGTCCAATCTTTATTGATTCCGATCGATAACGGATGTGCACTTTGTAAATCTATTAATCCAATAACCAAACCAAACATATCCATCAAAATTCTGACATTTAGTTTCACTTAATACTATTTGTAGCTAAGTTGACATTCAGGCCAAGAAAAGAATGCAAGAAGATATTTTTAGATAATAATTGTAAATTAGATAATTTAATTTATATTGGACTACTTTGAATAGGTTATCTTAATTTCAAATATTGAATTACTTTAATTTTAAATATTTAACTACTTTAATTTTATATTTTGAACACCGTAATTTTTATGATTCATTTGCTTTATTTTGGATAATTTGATTTTTCTTGAACAATTTGGTTTAGGTTGACTAATTTGATTTATGATGAAGAATTTGGTTTATATATAAGTTAGATTTTTTGGTTTTTGTCAGATACTTAGAGTCACGGAAACTTACACTAATATTTGTTTATGAATGTTTGTTTCTGTTGTTTGTAAATATTTATTTCAATTTCTTACATTACTCTTTTATTTACATTTGAATATGTTATTTATACTTTTTTAATATATAACAAAATTATATTTATATTTTGACACGAAATAATGCATTTTATATGTTTAAAAAATAAAAATCTTCATTTTTTTCTAGAAAATCTAATTATCCGAATTGAACTAGCTAATGGTTGATTGGATTAGTTTGCTGGAAAAAAAATTGATCAATATAATTAAAATCAAATTAATCAAAATTAATTACTTCAGACATTATTTTACTTTAAATTCAAACTAAACCGGTAAATGAGCTATATTTATTAGCTAAATTTGTGTAAAGTCACAAAATGTCTTAATCAAAAAGGAGACACTTAGTATGAAATCAGATATAATTTTTGCCGCACGTTGACACAATGTTGTATGTTTCACATTCACTCATTTTGAAGCCAACGCAAACATAATGTTTTCACATTTTTTTTAAAACATAGCATTTTTTTATAGTTTTTTTTAACTCTAATTTTTATATTTGATTTATTTAAAAAAAAATTGATCCATATTAAAGTTGGGAATTGTATGCTTTTTATAGATTATAAATAAAATAAAATTCAAAAAATATATATTACTTATATATTTTTCAACCATGTTGATATGGAGGATTTATCTATTTTGTTGATGACAAATATTCCTTATAGGGTTTGTCACCTTTAATGGGATCTATCATTTCAATCACAGTTTTCTCATTTACGAAACTCGAATTTATTTAAAGCGATCAAGTTTAATATAATTTGGTCCACCAAATTATTTGTATAGTTATATTAAAAAAAAATCCAGATCCAGTAATAAACGTTAAAGTAAAAAAATTAATTATTAATCTTAATCCATATACTTGTTCCTACTCCCACTACGTCTTCTTCATAAAACCCATATGGAGGAAGGGTGAAACGCATTGCAACGGGAAGGCTCCTTTCCATGCTCCAAGCAGAGGAGAAGGTTAGGTCATCATTAAGCAAACATAATGAGAATTTAGGCCTCTTAGGTAGATGGTTCTCTACTGCTATTGATATTCAGTCCTATAAGGATTTTTTAGCTAGAAATTTATTAATCCATGACACCTGAGTCTAGAGTGACTAGCTAGTGAGTGACTTGAATATTTCTCATCACTTTTGGAGTGGAGAATCAAGGGCTGAAGACTCTTGTGGAACTGAGTGGAAAGTTTTATCATAATTTAATCATGGTATATTCAACACTTGAATAAAGATAGAACATAATCAAGCTACCTATATGGTAAAGGGGGTAAAAATGTTCATTGTCCATATTGTTTGTGGGGAGTTTGCTGGTTTGGCGCCTCATTTTGTTCGAACAATTGCTACAAATCTCCTTGGTTTTTCTAAGATAGGGACTGACCAAGGTGCCTTGAGGATAGAAGGATGATTGAAAGATTTTCATGGTAGGATATTTCACTATGGTAGATAGGTTTTTGAGATCACACGAGTGTTTGCACCTAAAGGTGGTAACTTTAATACTCAGTTGAAGGAAGACGACTTGAGGTTTTATTATGCCTTGAAAAGAGGGACTTGGGTTGATTAGAAATATGTTGTAATAGAGGACTTGTTAAGTGTTAAGAAAAAGGTTGATGCTAATTTTCCATACCCTGTACTAGTTTAAATGGATGATTTTGCGGTTAACGTTGATGTTGAAGCCTATGACTACACCAAGCCAAATTGTGAGCTCGGGGAGGATATCCTTCATAAGTTGAATATTGTGAGAAATGTTGATGGAGCTTGGGTACCGCAAGATGAGGTTGGTGCTAAAGAAGCTGAAAGTGAAGAACAACCAATGAATGAAAATCCTTCACCATCTTTTGAGGATGCAATGATGGAGAAAATGATCGACACTTCTCAATCTTCATTATGAACATAGACTAGAGGTCAACTTCAACTTCGTTGAAGTGAAGAAGAGCTTGAATTTTATTGAGACAAGGCTAGCCATCACAAGGCTAGATGTGGACATAGCTACTGCTTCACAAACCAATTTTGTTGTTAGCGATGATGATGAAAAAGAAGAATGTAAAGATGAGAGGGAGATCTAGATCACCATTAGTCTAGTTTTTCTTAGTAATTTAGCATTTCTCTTTTTTTATTTTATTAAGTTTTTTTTTAAAAAAAAAAATCTATGTTGCTTATGTATTTTCCACTTTTATTAATGAATTTTGAGTTTACTTCTCTGATTTTGCCTATGAGTTTGCCTTTGGTGTTGTGTTTTTACCTTAATATGACAAAAATGGGGAATGATATACTAAGAGTAAAATTGAAACTAATGCTTGGTTTCAGGGGGAATTTTTTAATCTAAAATTTAATCTTAATATGTATGTTTCTATGTTTACTATACCAAGAAACTTTGTTTTGTTTGGAGATTACTAACCATTTTAAGGAGTAATTTAAAACAAATTGTTTAAGCAAGAAGATTCAAATTTAACATTAAATTCAAACAAAGAAAAAGTGTTTAACGTGATCAAAACAATAAAGGGGGAGAACGTTGGCCCTAATGAATGAAAAGAGATGAAGAGAAGATCACAAATTAGTTTTAACTTATAATCATGTATCTTTTTTCTTTTCATGTTTCAAATTGTTTAGAGGTTTTTTTTCCATAGGGCTTAGATATAGCTTATATATGGGTGTTCGGAGTAAGTTTATCTACCATGATTAAAACTTAAAAATAAGTAAACTGATAAATTAAATGTTTTGACAACTTAAAATAAAGTAAGTGTGAAGTGAGGTTAATGAAAATTAAAATAGAGGTTTGCTTAATGAACATGTGTTGATTATGACTCAAAATCTAATGTATCTTTTGTATGTTCTGTATGATCTCATCTATACAATCTTATATAGTAGTGTGTCTCCATTTCATCTGATCGATTAAGAATATACATAGTCTATCCTCATTAATCTAATGGGTTTAGTCTATCTTGTCTTATAAGATTTAGTCTTAGTGTCTTCGATCCGTGTGTGTGTGTAGATATATATATATA